AGCCACGCTAAATGCACAGCGACCGGCCAAAACGCAGCCTCCGGGGACCGAGACATCTCCCCAGCCGGGCGAGGGATGGCTCGGTGGGAGTCACAAATCTGGGAATCACACTGAAACCCCAGGCGGCACCTGTGCGGTGGGCATGCCCTCGGGGTACAGCTCTTTGTTTCAGGGTTTCCAGCCCAGCAGCACAGCCAGTGCCACGGTCGCAGCAGCAAAGGCGAAGTTTTTGGGTGACAACTCGGCAACCCAAAGCAAATTCTTTCTCAACAGAGAGTAACCAGGACCCCGGAAGTTACCCTTTGGAAAAGGCACTGCAGGGCCTGGACACAGCATTAGAGGGGCCGGCACTGAAAAAAGCACCGTGTGCTCAGCCACAAACCCTCCGCATCACGCTGCGGGCCAAAGCGGTGACCATGCCAAGGGAAACCTGCACCCGCTCTGACTGCAGCTTCGTGCTGAGCTCACTCCCGCGGGCAGCTGGTGTTTCACAGAGCAGCAAACCCTGGGCACAGGGGCTGCTTTCGCCCCTCGCATCGCCAGATCCGGCTCTGGAGAGTGGTGCGGTTCACACATGCCCTGCCATGTCCACTCCTGCCGGGAAGCTCCTCCGAGGAACAGCTACACACAAGCTGGGACAAACCATCTCACCAGATTTATCAAATAACCCTCATCTTTCTCACCAATGAGTAGTGAAGCTCCATCCACAGCTTTCAACCACCACCTCCCTGGATGAAAAGCAGTCGGACCAGATGTAAACCTGCCTCCGCGTCTGCTCCACTGGCAAGAGCGAAGGGGCGCAGGGATCCGCTCAGCCCATCCCTATCCTACCTCCCGCCACGGGACAGCAAGGGATGTGAAATCTCTTGGCGTGAAGCAGAGGGATTTACTAGGTGCGGACCAGGAAGCTGAGCCCTGCGCTCTGGTTTTAATAAGGTGGCAATAAGCAACGCGTCTTTCTGCCCTCAGAATTCCTCCTCTTCAAGTACCAGATTTATTAGAGGAGCCATAAATCATTTCATGTTGCAACTGGCCAAAAAAGCCCGACATTTTTATTGGTTTTGATTAATAGATTTATAATTGGCAGCAGGCATGGCAGCCTCTGCGTTTATTTTTCCCAAGACTTTCTTCCTTTTCCTTGCAGCTGACGCAGCTTGGCCTCCTTCGCTTTTCTCCAGATCGCTTATTGTTTTGATTTCAATGGAATTGTGTTCCCTTTGGTCCTAGTCCACGGGTCCTATCTTTAGGCAGAGTTTAATTTTGGGGTTGTTTAGGAAAGGGCACGGCTGAAACACCCTGAAAAGAACACAAACGTACGTTTTTATTTTCTGCTGTTGGCTGGGGAATGGGGGGAGGTTTCCCCAGCCAAGTCTATGCCTCTTCACACCCGTCAGAGCTCAACTGCCACCAGCAGCAGGCACGGCCTCGCTTCTCCCAGTCCCTTTCAAAACATGCCCCAGAGTCCACCCAAGCCATGTGGGACCCAAAACTCATCCACCTCGAAGAGCAAACCTGAGACAGCCCATCTCCGAGTGCTGCCGGGGGGCACGGCTGGACGTCTTCCTGGAATCAGTGCTCAGGAACTTCCTGCAATTTGTTTTGAATTATTGCCCACACGTGTAGAGAGAGGACTGAGCTTTTACTAGGCTGGGCGAGCAGAGATCAGCCGTGAGGAGAAAAGCGCCCCCCGCAAAGCTGCGATGCGCACGCTGCCTGGAGCGCGGGTTTACAGATGTTACGACAGCGCCCTGCGAGCACCGGCCACGTCAGGCGGATTAACAACCTGCGAGAAAGGACAGTGAAAAGCCCCACGTGACGCTTCGTAAACCCCTTCCTCTCTCTTCCAGGCCGAGGGCAGGTGGGACACAAGCCTGCTGAGGGAAGCACAGGCTGACCCTCAGGGACTGGGTGAGCTAAGACACATATGAGTTGTTTAAGACACACATTCACCCCGAGCGGCTGATAACGGGTGTGAATCAGGCACTCAAAGAGGGCAAAGTGGTCTAAATGAAGCAGGTGCTCGTAAAAATCAGTAATAATTAATAAGCCCATAACACCTCAAAATGTACTACAAGTGCTAGCAGAGGACCTTTTGTTTGCAACACGGCTCCAACGGCAGAAGCGCAATTCCGCACCTCGGGAACGGGTGAAGCGAGGGAGCCACGAGATTGAGATCACCCCAGAGCCCCCCAACTGCTCAGCAGACACCCAGAACGTGTCTCGCCCCGGTCACCAGAGGGAAGCGGCCAGAGAGCTGCTCTGCGGCTGCTCGCAGTGCTCTTCACTCTCAAGCCCATCTCAGAGAACTTCCATTTTTGCAACAAGTGGAGAAATCCAAGCGGGCATGTGCTCAAGCCCAGACTCGATGCTCAAGGGACAAGTCAGGGAGCACATGGCTCCCTTTCCTTCAGCTTCCGCCTGTCCCTGCTGCTGGCACCATGCTGGCATCACGTGCTCCCACCACACTTCACAGTACGGCGAATATAACAGAACAGACCTTCCTGATGTTTTCAAATCTGTAGGAAATTGCCAGGAGGAGGTCCTAAGGGACCTCCTAAGGGACACGTGGCTCCTGTGTTGGCCTTCCCTGACGTCTCAGGAGGGGTGATTCACACACCTCAGGATCAACCTGTGGCACTCGCTGCCACGAGATGATGGGCCTTGCCCAAAGCTGAACGGGTTACAAACCACTTTTCATGGAGAAAAGTCCACCTAACGCCGCCGCAGCCTGGAGATTGTCCCATGGATAAATCCCCAGTAACGCTTGGTTTCTGTGCTCTTCCCTGGACACTGCTCACACCCAGTGCTAAACCAAGGACACTACACCTCCGTGGAAAGCCCTTCTTGCTTCTAGCTACCCAAGAGCTGCTCCTGGGCATGTGTACAGCAGTTAAAAGTCTTGTCTGTTTGACAGGATTTAAATATAAGCATCCTCCCCCACCTCCCAACACAGAGAAACACCACATGAAATGTTTTTCTGCAGCATGTCCTTACCCCGACAGGCCTTGTGTCCTCCAGATGCCACCGAGGGCAGCCAGAACATTCCCACTAGCGTTGCTGGAACCAGCCTGCATCACAGAGAAAGAGAGATTGGAAACTGTTGGCAGAGAGGTTTAGTTATTTACTGAGCTCCCTGTCCCTGGTTAGTGCTACTTCACAGACATCCTAATGACCTCCTTACTCCAGGGAAAAGCTCCTTGCCCACAGGAATAAGGCAAAGGGAAGAAAGGGAAACTGAGGCACAGAACAATAAAACCATCACTCCAAGGTCACAGAGCCGGTTAGTTCAGAACCGGGTATCCAGTCCTTCCTGCACTCCACTCAACTCTGTGTCCAGCAAATGACACTGGAGTAAGAATTTGATACAAACACACCCTGAAAGCACCAACAAGTGACTTTGCTGCTCACTGCAAAGGGGATTTCCTTGAGATTCACTTAAAAAGCCACGAGTAGTGTATTGCATGGGAAAATCGCCTTGAGAGCAAAACAGAGGACAAACAGCAGGACTACAGACAATTCAATTAGATGTGTGATTTAGTTAGGGAGAGATGACTAATATAAAGATGTTGTCTGAACAGTCTCAGGACATCCCAAAGCACCACCATTCTCCTACCAACGCCGACCGGGTTACTCAGCGCAGCAGCAGACAGAAACGAAACCCTTTTCTCACAGTTTTCTCACCTCTGCTACCCAAAGGCAACGCCGCCGCAGCAGATACAACACCCAGCAACGAGAGACGCAACACAGCGACGTGGTGAGCGCAGACGTGCGTGACTCGGCAGGGGAGGCGCGTGTCACCAACAAGAAACATCCCCAAACATGAGCAACAGGGTAAAAACCCCACACAGAAACTTCAGGATGCCTGACCTTTGCCAACACAACAGCTCCTTTCAGGGCAGGGAAAGGACGAGGGCTTTTAGCTACGTGGCTGTCCAATTCTGCCCTGAGGTCAGCAAGATGAGGACAGGAACACTAGACTTACTAGCAATTTAGCTACTTAATAAATGGAGTGATCTTATAAGCAATCTTCCTTCTGCCCTGATTGGCAGATGTAAGCCAACGTGATCGCTGTGCCTTCAAATTTTAGGACAGAAAATCCAATGCCATGATCTCCTCAGAAAAGCCACATACCCACACTCCAGCCCAACCGTTATCAAAGAAACAGAGAATAAATCCCTGATGGGAAGTTTAGCTTTGAGCATCTGTCTCTGCGAGACACTGCATGAGACTCTGGAAGTCTAGGAAGCACCTGGACCTTCTCAGCTCCTTTGGGAAAGGACCAACAGAGCAATACAAGGAAAGGAGCACAACCATTTCATTAATTCTGCACGCAGTACCTGTTCACATCTAATCCTTTGAGGGCAACAGCAGAAACCATTATTAATAGGTGCTGGATTTCACTCTGTCAGGACCACAGAGATGCTCTGGAACTACCCAAGGCATTCACCTGCGTGTCCGCTGGCCTTCTCCGCTCTTACCTTTGCCAACATAATTCTCGTCTTCGCTACATCAAGCGGCGTGGTGACTGCAGCTGCAAATCCACCTGAGCAAACGAAAACACCAAACACAAGTGAGACATTGTTGGTTGAACACGAACGCCACGCCGCTTGCAATTCCCACGGCTGTGGTCAACACTGCTCCATTCTTAACGCCTGCGGCGTGTCTCCCCGCCTCAGAGTCCAGGTACGTTTGTTGAAGGTCTGTACACAGAGTGCTTTATTCCCGTGTGTTGACTTAAGGAAAACAGCTCTGTACTAGTCAGCTGTAAATCCAAACATCCCCACTGAGATTACCATCCTTTTGTTTTGGACTCCACACGTATATGAACACGTGAAGGTTGTAAGGATAATGGATTCCACCTCCAACACCTCCAGACACGTTTGAAAGGAAGAACCTGCTTACTTATTTGCAGAGATTGGACAATAAGCTTGTCACCTTGAGGATTAAAGTCTGACCATTCAAACGCTAGAGGACGGAAGGAGAGGATGATGCTCTGCATCTGAAACTCATGCTTCAGGGGCAAAGCTATCCACAAGATACAGGCAGACTGGATCCAACTGTTAGACCTGGGACTTTGTTTCAAGGGAAAAGACAAGATGGTGTTTGGGATGGAGCTCATCTCCAACGAATGAAATCAGCTCCATTTTGGATAATAACAATGTGAAGCTCCCCAAGGGTCTTTGGAAATCGTCAGAATTGCTGCCACAAGTGCCATCTTACCCTCACGGGCATTTTTCTTCTCTCTAATCACTGCCAAACCTCACCCTTGGAGCTCATTACTTTCCCTTGGAGCAGCCAGCTCAGCTGTGGCTTTCCTCCTGAAAGCCAGAAATCTTCAGCTTATCCATCTGCATCTCTCACCCACAAACGTGTCTGTCTGTCTCCATATTTTAACCCTGTGGCTACAGCCTGGCCTCTTGTGCTATCTAGGGACCAGCTTTGCTGCTTTTTCTCCCAGGAACTTATTCCCTTTGCCTTATTTTCCCCATCCTAAAATTATCTGCAATCTCTCTCTCCCCCTCCTCTGTTTACAATATTTCAAGCAAGTAATTCATGCTGAGGAAGAGCCAAAGTGAAGGAAACTTTTAAAATGCAGGAGCAGCCCAGCAGTAAGTGAAGAAAGAAAAGGAAAGAAAAGGGAGGGAGGGGAAGAAAAGAGAGAGACTTGTTCTGAAATCTCTCTTCTTCCCCCTGATTTTTCTTCTGGAGCTTGTCTAAATCCTGTATCTGCTACAGCAGGGTACACACAGTGACTCCAAACACTTGAAGCCTACACAGTACCCAGGGAATAAGCTAAAAAGAATCTATTTTCTGTTCCAAGTTTTACGGAATGTAGAAAAACTGATCTCTCTGCTTGGGATGGGAGAGGGGAAAAAAAATTCTTCTAAAATCTGCAAAGTAATGAAAAAAAATCCATCTTCCCCACTGGCTCATGTTTTTACCTGCCTCTCTCTCTCTCCACCACCTTGGCTTTAACTTATTAAAGTCCTGCTTTATGTCAGAAAGGAGGCTAGGCCAGCTGGCAATCTCCGTTGATGACTTACAGTTAATTAAGGAAGGTCCCGTGACAGCTCAGGAGATGCAGTAAGGCACATGTGCGGACCCCTGGACCTCAGACAAGAAGAGCAGGCAAGTCGAGCTTGCCAACAGCCCAAAACGCTGGGTTAGGAGCAGCTCCTGCTCACGTAAGGCCGGCCCATCCCGTTCTGCCGGAAGCTTTCTAGCAGCCATACCTCACTAAAAAGCAGAAAAATGGGTCGTATTCAAGAAGCCAAAGCAGAAACTATGAGCAAGTTAAACTAAATTCCATCCCATTCTTGGACCTTCTTTAAGGTCAATAATCTTTTTATCGTGAGCCAGTTTTTGAGTAAGCGACCCAAAGGCCTTGAGAGAATGGTCTGGAGAGCAACTGCAGTACTCATGTCAGCGATGTATTTTTAGAAGAGTAAAAATAATCTCCATGGAAAATAGTGGCTTTAAGAGTCTGGATGTCGAAGCCCTTCCTTTGCCCACCGACCAAGATAAAATTAAGCAGGGAACCACGCGGCTGTCAGATGCTTATCAAGCACAAAAACTCAGAGCATCGCTCTGCCACAGAGCTCATGGTAACGCTCAGGCAGACGAACTTGTTTCCCTGATCAGGTCCCGGTAATTTTTTTATGCATTTGTTCCTATTGGCAGAAGCATCAATCTTGGCTGATAGAGTGATTAGAACAAACATAATTCATCCTGATAGGATGTTCTCAAATTCTTATCTGAGAGGTTTAACCAAAGCTGGTTGGTTTTCATTTTTTGCCCAGCCAACATCTGGATCTTTCAGACTCTTTTGTTATTAACATTTCGATGTTTCTTTTTCCATCACTAGGAAGTATTTGGTACAGATTTACCAATCAATTTAGAATGACAACAGCAACAATAAAATGCTTCATAAGCACAACAAACAGCAGGATAGCGGCTAAATTAAATGCAAGTTTGTATATGCCTGACGAAAACACAAGATTAAAGTCAGCGTTTGTTGGGAACTGCATTTTATTGAAGGCAGCGAGTCTGACAAAATGAATTTGCTCCAGCCTTAACCCTAAAGGTCCAAGGTAATTTTAGAGCGACCTCTTCAACATCAGCATGCAGGTATCCAAGGAGAGGCTACAGCACTGGCAAGGTCCCACCCACTCTAGGCTGGGTAAAAGGACTTAAAACTTGACTGTTCCAGTCATCGGATTAATACAACAGGCACAAACTAGTACAGACAGAGCCTACCCATGCTAAACAGGAGGGCTGTGCACTGCACTGTCTAATATCCAGTAAGGCCCAGCAGATCTTTAAACCCTCCTTTAGTCTATTTCCGCTGTCACCGAATTCTCCAAGAGCTGCCGCATAAGGCTGGAGTCTTCTCAGCTACTCAACAACCAGGAAAAGCAGGTATCAAAGAATCGGGTGGGCAAGAAAGGTCCAGACACATCCAGCCTTACACTCCTAACCATTCTGGCTTCTCTACAGAGCTGACGGAGAAGAGGCACCTCTGCAGGCAGTCTGGTCCCAGACCCACTCAGCAACCCGCCCCTGGAGAAGGCTCCTTTTTTCTTTGCCCCAGAAGGATCCGCTGATGGCTCAGCAACTAGACACAAAGATGGATTTCCACATGGGAGAAGGCTCTTGGCTTGTTAATACTTTTAGCAAGGTGACAAACTCCTGGGAAAATAAAACTTCACGCAGTAGTGGAAAATCCGTCACCTGTCTCCCAAGAAGTTACAACAGACACTGGATATTCACACATCAGCTGAGCAGCTAAACTTTACCAAGCTCAGGGTGTTAAACAGAAAATCCCTCAGCTACTCACACTTTCCCAGTGACCAGTTCTTGATGGAAGCAGTAGTGACAGACATCTGCAGAGGATGAGTTGCCTTTATTTGGCAATCAGAAGTCTTGAAGACTTAAGATATTCCCCTAGGTTCCTGCTGGCATTTTCTACCCTTTTTAGCTGTCCTATGCAGACAAAAATAGAGAAGCATCAGAACAGAGTGAAATACTTCACCCAAGAACAATACACAGCCCTAGGTTGTAGCAGTAGGGTAGCCGATGGCAGAATTTGCTGCTGCTACAGGAAAACGTTTCTCGGGTTCTTTGACACACTCCTCAAATAAGATCCTGTGATGGGAGGAAGACAAGTTCTTCAATCCCCATATCTATTTTTTTGGTAGCATTTTAACTTCTCCTCACCCTTTCTAAAGGGTGAGAGAACCTTCTGGCCATCACAGGGGCTCCTCCTGATCCTGTCTTTTTGTCAACTGGCCAGACCCCCAGCACTGTCTTCTGCAACACCAGCCCAGTTCAAGCTCGCTCCAAGAGACAGGAACTTGTGCTTGACTAACGTCCTTGTTTGAATCAGCTCACCTTAGGAAAGGGAAAAAAAAAAAATCCAGGTTGAGCTGTATGATTGCCTGTCTTCATCACTATTTTCTGTGCTGACAGCTGAAGGTTACCCAGGACTGATTCAGGACTGAATCCCAAACCTGTGTTGAAAAACGGAGTCGCACAGGTCCAACACCAAACCTCCTGGCATCCTCTTACACTGACTGACTTCCAAGTTCACAAACGGTCTTTTTCAGAACTTTTCAATCTATCAGTACTTATTCAAACTTTTATTGATATCATGTTAAACTTTTTATTCTGCTCCTTTATCACGGTGGGAACACCACCTGCCAACAGTAGGGCAAAGTGACTCAAGAACCTCTTTGGATTTCAGCAGAAATACCAAGAGGCCAAGCACTGGTCCTCCAGCGATTTAACCAGCTCAGAGTTAGAAGCAGACACTTCAGGGAAATCTTGAGAACTACTCAAAAATTTATTCAGAGCTATAAAGTTAAAGAGGCTTTTAGACACAGCGTGTAATCCTGTCAGAGCCGATTAGATCAAAACAAAAGCGATGGGAAGTCTTCCCTGCTAATGTGCAAAAAGCTCTCGTTAGTGCTTTATTATTCACTAGACTTGCACCTCCCTTCTCGGTGACTTTGTCACCACAGAGCATTAATTATTAACGTTAAGCCACACTTTTTTACAGAAGGCGGCTTTAACAGAGGCGATTTTCAGTCGCATTAAATGGCCACTCAGGTTCTGTGACAAGGTGGAGATCTCCTCATTGCTCCAGGGCAGTACTTTGCTTTCCCAGCCACTAATACCCAGTGGCAGGATTTCCTTGCTGCCAGCCCACTTCCACAGAGGACACAGGAAACCCACCCAGCAGCTCTTCTAGGCCAGCCTGCCCTGGTACGGTGCAGGGCTGGGGCGCAGTGCTCCAGCCAGGCAGCCTAAGCCCACAGAAGACTCGAGAGCGTGGAGTGCAACCACAGTCACACCTGGGCTGCCCACAGCGTGGGGACAGGCTTCCCTCCTCTGCCTGCCTGTGCCCAAATCTGGACAGGTATCAGCTCAGACACGAGGCAAGGTTCGCTTCAAATGCAACCTCAGGCTTATAATATAGAATGGTTTGGGTTGGAAGGGACCTTAAAGCCCACCCAGTCCCCCCCCCTGCCATGGGCAGGGACACCTTCCACTAGACCAGGTTGCTCCAAACCTCATCCAGCCTGGCCTTGGACACTTCCAGGGATGGGGCATCCACAGCTTCTCTGGGCAACCTGTCCCAGTGCCTCACCACCCTCTCCAGGAAGAACTCCTTCGTGATATCTAATCTAAACCTCCCCACTTTCAATTTAAACCCGTTACCCCTTGTCCTGTCACTACAGGCCCTTGGAAAAAGTCCCCCCTAGCTTTCTTGTAGCCCCCCCAGCTACTGGAAGGTGCTCTAAGGTCTGCCCGGAGCCTTCTCTTCTCCAAACTGAACACTCCCAACTCTCTGAGACTTCATGTAGGAAACAACCCTGTAGCTCTACCCTTGGGTTCCTCCCCACCGGCTGCTCAGATACCACCTTCTCTCACTCTCTGATGGCTCCAAACATCTCCTCTAGTTAAGGCACCAGAGGTGACAATAAAGCTGGAGAAGGCCTCCAGGGATTAAATTATTAACAGATGAGACAGAGAGGATGCCAAATCTCTGATACTTATGCTCACGCCTATTTGGTTTCTATAAAAAGCCCATGAATCGGGTACACGCATCTTACACATGTGTGCTCAACAAGGAAGAGCCAGGCCTCTCGCAGCACTTTGGCTGAAATCACTGCCATTTCACAGGCACTGGGAATGGAATTCAGTATATTGTTGCTCTTTGTTCTGTCTTCGCCAAATAATCAGTTATGATTGAGCCAGGAACTAATCGATACACGCAGACACACGCGTGTATGTGTGTGCCATAAAGGGAAGCCAAACAGGACTTTTCTTTCAGTTTGGTTCAGCTCGTTACCCTGCCCCTCAGGACCCCTGACGTATTTTTAGAACGTATTCAATTCAAGCAAAGAACACAGGAGAAAAGCATGGCTGTTTGAGTTTGCCATCCCACTACTACCGTGGTGGCATTTCACAGCATCTCTGTGTTTAAAGGTTGTTTTTGGGATAATCTTCTCCTTTTAAGGTTTCTAGCCTGATCATTTTAAATCAGATGCACACAGACATTTTATTCACAGACTGAGGGTTTGATTTTTTTGTTTTGTTTTGGGGTGGAAAGAAAGGGATAAAGAGTTCAGTCTGTTTTTTCTTTCCTCGTTTGAAGCTATATGTAGGTAGTTAATGATTTTTAACTGGGGAATCCATTCTTCAGAAAGCAGGAAATTATTTTTCCACTGCCTCCATTCAGCAAGAAGGTGAAATATTCTCAGTGAAATAGAATGGATGCAGTACCAGCTCAGATCAATACAGGGCCTGCTTGTTACACATCTGCAAAGGGACACAATGGAGACAGGAGGAGAAGGTTCTGATCCAAAAAAAGTTGAACCTTGTGAGTTTTGAAGCAGGTCCTCAAAGGACACATGAGAAAGGAAGTTAAAAATACTGCTGGTGAAAAGGAAAGCATAAGGAAACAAAGAACAGATAAGGAAACCAGGCTGGAAGAAGCGAAGCTGGAAGGATAACCCAGAGAATATTCAGCATCACCAATTACAACACAATCTACAAAACAGGACTCCAGCTCAAGACAGTTTGGGGAATAGAGCCTATGAAGACAGCTGGGCTGAATCTACCACCACCATGGACCTGGGAGTCTCTGTGCTGCTCCAGGACCTGTCATCTCCTCCGGCACAAAGCGTTAGGTCTTCCCAGCATCTGGGAAGTGAAGTGTTCCTGCACAACCGTGCCGCTGGAAGCTCCTTCTGCAGTATTTCTGCCAGAAAGCGAGCAGACCCTACTGAACATCCATCACACAGCAGCAAGTCCGAGCACAACTGGTCAGAATCAAGACACACAGAGAAGGAAGTGGAGGCACTGGGCTAGATTTCCAACTGAGGCACCAAATTGGACTTCAGGAAATTGCTCCGCAAGGCCTTGGGTAAATCAGATAACCTTTCCAGCTCTCTGAACATGCCTGAACACAGGTTTTGTATCAATCTGACTGTAAAGAAATCAAGAGAGCTAAATTAATGATCCCCCCATCGCACCTGCAGACCTACAGATTGCATACTAAAGCATTTTTAAGCTTGGTTTGTTCCAAAACAGAAATTAAGTGTTTCAATCACTCTGACTTTGTTTGCACTGATTTGATGAAGTCGGTGTAAAATCCAACAGTAGACTCAATTTTAAGCAAAATCAAACTCCCTTCCCACCACATAAACATAAAAAACAGCTGGACAAGACAACGAGAGATCATCTAAAATATCCCCTCTGCCCCAAAATGGAATCAATTCTACCTAAACCATTCTGCCACAACTCACACACCTGTTCTACTGAACTGTGTGCAGCTACGGTCGTGCACCCTCTCAGTCGTGCAGCCAAGCGCCCAGCAAAACGAAGCCCCAGTCTCTGCTGGAATTCTGCTGCTATTAACACTCCCATTCCCCTCACAGAGCTTATTTCAAAAAAATTGCCTATGAAGTAATGGCTCTGATTTTTTAAGTCATCAAAGAACAAGCTTTGCTTTTGATAATCTCTATTTCCAGAAACTCTGTAATTTCTCTTTAAACAGGATTTATTTTTTTCCACATATTCTGTTACTGGTTTGGAATCTCAAAATGTATTTTAGCTCCATGGGGAAAAGCTCTGGCTATCCATCTCTTAAATACTAATCTGTTTTTTCTATTAAGACAGTTGAGTCTCTCCTCCCTCAAACTTGTCAGCTATACTGATGAGTCATTAATTGAGGTTGTTTTTTTTTTGGAAATAACTACAGTAGGCTAAAATCAAGCAAGAAGCCTACTGAAGAATTCAATTAACTTCTGGCTTGTTTGGTAATAAATAGTGCAGTATTGTATTCTGCCACTCTTTATTCCTGTTCTAGCGTCTGGAGATTGCCCAGATGTTTCGTCCTCCCTTTTCTTTTCCACTGCAGCAGGGTTTTGCCCGCGGGCTGTGCAGCGCTAGCCTCTGCTCTCCCAACTCTAGTTAATCTACACGGCTGTCAGAGCTGTCACATGAATGGTGAATCACGGCCCCTCGCTGCAATCACTTCAGCCCCTGGGGAAGCGCTCGGAGCAGACAGCTGCACAACCCCCCCCCACCCAAGGAAAGTTTCTCCTGGATGAGGATTTTACAAATCAACTTTGAAATCATCGCAAAGCCTGACTGACAGGCCCCTGGTTTTTAAATAACAGAAATTTGTCAAAAACAAATTGGTTGTCTTTCAAACAGACACTCTGCTTGAGTCTCCCCCCCACACCCCCCTTCATTTGCTGACTTTTCTATTTCCAAACAACAACTGGATCCGTTTTCTTCTAAACAAACTTGAATTACAAAGGAATGTTGTTCTGCTATACTTAATAGATTTGCACATTTTTCCCTTTCTTCTTTAGTCTTTCCCAGTATAACATATAATCCTTTGCACCTGCAAAAGCTCCACAGACTGCTGACTGCCAAGAATCCACCACGTGACCCTGCTTCCATGACCAGAGATCCTGTGTTTAAAGAGAAAGGAAAATAAAAAGTTATTAAATGTTTGAATCTATCTGATCCCCATGTGAGTTAACTCCGAGGATGGGAACTTAAGTGAAAAGCTATTTTTGTGGCATTTTTCAGTGATGCAATAAGTGCTTTTTCCCAAGGAACTTGTGTACTTGAACGAGCAGATGGAGTGAGAAAGATGTCTGGAACTGAGGAGGGCTTGAAGCAAATTGCTTTCAGGGATTTCATATGTATGTATTTAAGCCTGTGGCCATGCAACTTCGCAAATATTTTGTGAATTTATTTTCTTTTTGGCAGGTAAAACAGCGGAAAGCAAAACTCCGAGCAGGGGGGGGTGGCATGCAGGAACCAGTATCAGTTCTGTTTGTACCAGATGTACCAAACAGTCCCCAGCACAGCGAGAAACAAGCCCTGTTTGACCCCTACATTTCTTAAACCAACCCTTCCCCTCGCACTCCCAAAAAAAGCCCCATCATTAAGAAATCACTCTTATCGCTCCCATTACATCCCGCAGCAGGTGTGTCTGTTTTTCACTTGGCGTCATTAGGGACCACACACCCTTCTCCTCTCCGCTTCTCTCACACACCATGCTCCAAACCCATTAACTCACTGCATCCTTCAGACACGCACATTTTAAAACACCGAGAACGGTGCCGTCTGAAAAACACCTATCGAGAACCACGTCAAACCGTTCGAGGAGTCCGACTGGTGTCGGCCAATGCGTGCTGGGATGTTTTTTATTATGCCAGCTACGGTCACTTGGCTCTCTCCTCCTCCACTCCATCGACCCGTTCCCATCCTCTGAAACACTTAACATTGGAAGTTCCTGGAGGAGAGGTTTCTGGTTTATGATGTGAAGATCAGTTCTGGGCAAAAAGGGATGGGATCCATGGCTCTTCTAAGGTCTACCGCAGAGAAATCAGTCTTTTGGTTTTTGATAGCTGTGGCACTACCTCATTCTTTTTAAAGCCATATTACTTCCATACTATAAAATTTCCTTAAAAGCAACCTGAAAGCTGTGCTAGGCTGAGATATTGCCCTCAGGCTCCTGGTCTGCAGTGCAGCCACTTTCCACTGGGGCACGAGAACGCATTCGCTGACTCTTCATTTAACACGCTGCCCTTGTGACTTGCTTCTTCCAACTTGGCTGGTGGTTACAGTTCAGTTGAATGTTTTAAAAATCAAACTGTTCAAGCAACAATGGCCAGCCACAATGTTGTTTGGTATCCTGCCACAGCTAAATAACTGCAGCTCTGCTGTACAAAAGCACTAAAGGGAGTTCAGTCTCTTTAACGCTAGCCATTCTTTTCCTGGTGTTTTCAGTATGGGCTTCTATTCTGCTGTCACCCACAGCAGAAACTGATTTTCATCTCATAAATAAATAAATAGGGATTCATAATTCTTCAAACCCGTAAGATGTTTTTCTGGAATAAGTTATGCTCCCTGGACACACAGGTTTTTTGCAGATCAGTCCTGTGGGATGGAGGACACCCGGCCCCTAAGACAAAAAGGCACTACCTTCCAAAGCGTCCAAGTATTGTCAAAGCACAAATCCCACCTTCAAAACACTTCAGAAGCCTCAAATTAAACCCAACTAAAGCCAAGAACTCAGAACAGTTATTGGTGTCATGCAAAAAAGCACTATGGAAGATCTGCTGGAGGACTAAGAAGAAAACCAACTCATTAATACAGACATTCATGGCTTTGCCAGAAGTCCAGCCTACTCTCCGTCACGACGGGGTTTTATGTTCATGGCATTGTTCATAGAAGTAGGAAAAGGTCAATCTTCCTTCTTGGCATGCAGCTCAAATCCAGTTTCTGATAAAGCCTGGCTTCCCAGTACTGTACTGCACAAAGAGCCTTTGCCAAGCAAGGCTAACGGTGACGAATTCCCACCCGTTACGTCTGCAAATTGACAACAGGTATTTGCAACAGTCATGCAACACAGAAAATTGTTTAGAAGGGTGGAGCCAGGAACAGTTAAATTAGAGAAAAGGAGAATTGAGGCTTCAGAACAGGAAGAAAATTCCCCAACAGTGAGGTCTACAGAACAGCAGAGCCAGCCTCTCCAGGGAGGAGAGGAAAGCCCTCTCCTTTGAGTCATTTAAAAATAGACTGGAGAAGGCACTCCAGACTGTACTGTGGGGAATAATCCTGCGCTGGCAAGGGCAGGGTGAGATGACTTCATGCATTTCTTTCCATCTCTGATTTTGGTGATTCACCCTGAGCTCCAAACCTGAACATGCAGAAGAGCGAGAGACTCTGGGCATGAGGACATCATCCCGGAGGAAGCTGAGAGGAACCAGTGTCACAGGGCTAAGAGGACCAGCAGGACTCGGGTCCAAGTTCTTTCCAACCACACTCGCGCTGCAGGCCAAGCTGACGTGCTGAAGGTCACACATGTTTTCCCTCATAGCCCACGGACCGGCTAATTGACAGGGCTTTGCGGTAAGTCGGGCATTTAAGTTCCTCAAAAACACTCGCCTTTGTGCTGCACTGAGCATGGTTTTAATACTACTGACACAGGGCAAAGCGCAGAAGCTGCTGGGGGCTTGTAGATCACTGTAAAATCATGGCCTTGCTCCTGGAAAGAAATGGTGGATTCGATACATATCTCCCCAAAACACTGACCATGGACAGAATTCCTGGTTATTTGCAGTGATACAGCACCTAGATTACACCCTGCCATCCCAAACAAATTCAGGAGAGCCCTCCACTCGGGGGGATAACGGCGAGAGCTCAGGTCACGCAGAAGAGGGGTGTTGGAGGCAGGCTCAGAGCCCGCGGGTCACAGCTCCAAACGGCAGAAACCCCCACGTGATGCCTGCAGAAGCCCTGCAACCGCCCTGCTCTTTCTACACGCTCTTGCAATATGAAACATAAACTGGGAATCACGAGCAACACAACAATTGGATCAGCCTGGTTTCCCCACCAGCGTCACCAAACGGCTCCTACCTGCTTACGCTGTACTCCTCCTGCAGAAGGCTGCAGGAGATAATGAGACTTTTGCAGGGCCATACCCATTCCCACTAGCATGCAGAGCCTAGGAAAGCAAAATGACAAGGAGCACATTACATGAAAGCGGGCCGCCATGCCAAGCCTGTGTCATGTGTATTCTATTAAGCTGAAGTCTGAATAGAAGACTTTGTTTTCCACTTCAAAGGACCCCATCCCAATCTCTCGCTCTTCCCTTATGAATAACAAATTGGAAATAAATCTTCTGGCTGAAGCGCATGGAAACTTGTACAGTTGGGGCCCTCTGCAGCTTCCCAGCTCAATCACATGCTAATATTTTCTGTAAATACTTCTGTGTGATATATATGTAAATCTCGCTGGGCATTGCCGCGCCATGTAAAGCAATACAGAGGGTGTGTGTCCCCAAGGGAAGGGACACAGTGGGAAGCCTGAATGCAGCTTTCCAATTATTCACAGGGATAATGTTCACAGAGAAGGGTCAAGTTTTATATGTGGGCAGAGTCTTACTTTTCTTCCTAACGATCCCATTTCATGCCATCCCAAAGGCCAGTGTCCTCTACTTCTCACCACAAATGTTATTTAGTTCTTTTGATATTGAGAATATAAGGACACCCCATTTTTCTGGGCAGAAGGCACATTGGAAGAGTCACTCTTAGGGTATACCAAAGGCCTTTCAATCACAAACCAAACAAAAAAAGATATTACCATTGCCTTTAAATACAGAAGAGAAGTATATGGTTGCCACAAACTTGGGCTCCTCGTGTGCTGTGGACACCTGGCTTCCAGATGGTCAGTGATCTTGGAGTAGTTCACACAACTCCTTAGCTGTGTGCCTCTCACCTTTGCCGTACGTTTGGGATAAAAGTTTGGGGCAGAAATCATCTGCTAGCTTTGTCTTCCCAATGTGGTTGGGTCTTGGTCTACATTCAGGACACCCAAGCTATGGGAAAGTGCAACACTCGCATCTCTCTCACACCTGATGACCAGACCAAGACCCCAAACGCTGCAGGAAGCACTGTAGACAAAGAGACATCTCTGCCTTGGCTTTGCCGTTCTTCATGCACGAAGAGGCAGGCAGACCTCATGACATACACTAAACTTGAGGCCTGCAGCTGAGTAAATATTACGATTCACTCCACTGATAAGCATCTGGAGTATTTCTACGTACCCTTGTATTCAAGGCAGCGTTCAACTTCATGATAACAGAGGGGAGAAAAATCTTTCCGAATTAATCACACGCATTTGTGTGCATGTGCAGTCCTGCAGACTGAGGAAAGAAAAGTAATTTTCACGTTTGCCTTTGCTACTAGGTATTTTACTTGCAGCGTGGCATTCTACATGGCTGGTCCTTACAGATGCATGGCACATTAGCTACAGGAGAAGCAAAAAATTCGTTAAGCTGATTGCATTCTCTATACATGAAGCCAAATGTCCTCCCCAGTGAATTTTTATGTGCATATGTGCAGCATATGTGCAAGTACATGTATATATTATCTTGCAGGAAACATGGAAGCCCAAACATGGGAAAAATTCAATGATCTAAGTTCACTGTTGACACAAATGTTGAGACCCCATTCGCACTAATGGAGTTGTGTTCACTTATGCCAGTACTGAACTTGGCCCCCAAATTAAACCCACCCAGACCCCAGATAAATTGAGAGAAAGAGAACAAAAGTTGGCCTACATGCAACAGCGTATTTTTCACGTTAAAAGCATTTCATTCACTTTTTCTCCCCATATAATACTGCATTGATGTCTGTGACCCATTTGGATGTAAATCAAAATGGATGTGCTAAAAGCCTGGTTAAAGAAAATGTCTTCGAAGCAGTGTTCCCATGGCAAGGCAGAACATAATATGCTAGCCACACTCGGTTTCCATGGCACAAAGGGCCGTATATGTGCCTGAGGAGGAAAATGCACTTCTGAAAAATCACTGCGAAGTTAGGACGGCTTTCCTTGAGCATCTGCACTGCTACTACTTCATAATAAATCTGTGCTTCATGCAGGCTTGTGTGAA